TGCCCATACACCTCCTCCAACTGTTGCGGACTACTAGGGCTTCATACCAAAGGAACTTGGTTGCAACTCATATATGCCTAGTACAATCCGCAACATAGGAAACAAAATACCGATTACCTTCCAATGATGCCTCCATGGAAGGCCCCCTAATGCCTGACTGAACACCTCCAATAAGACCCCTTGATCGGTGGATAGAAGTGACAAACTCCACTTTAGTCTTCTTGCTCATGCCACTGTGCTCAAAGGACTTCAATCTACAGGTCATAGCACTCCTCATCAATTTATGCACGGTATAACCAATAATATACCCCAGCACCAAACAATGCCACAGTCTAGCTAAAGAAGTCGTCAGCGCTCTATCAATCACCGTGCTCCCAAACAGATAATACAAGTTACTCCTCCTGACACTCTTCATCACAATCATGGACCCCAATGTGACCTTCAAGCGAGAATCCGCCAAGGTCACCCTATAGCCTGCTGCCTCCAATACCCCAAATGAAATGATGTTCTTCCTCAGTTGAGGAACGAACCTCACATTAACCAACTCTCGAATCATCCCGTCACTCATATGAATCCGAACGGTACTAATATCACCAATATGGCACCTGTGATCATTACCCATAAGTACAGCATCCCCTCTTTCCAACTCCTGAAAGCTGGAGAACCAATCCCTCCAAGGGCATATGTAGTAAGTAGCACTCGAATCCAACATCCACTCGGTGGAGTCGGCTACACTAACTGACGGAAGAGCTGGGCATGAATAGCCAGAAGAATCTGAATCTGAAACGTCGCCACTAGCCTTGGTAACATTCAACTCTGAAGCTTGAAAAGCTTTCCCCTTATTCTTCTCGGCTTGTAATTTTGGGCATTCGGTTTTTCAATATCCATCCTCTCTATAAAAGGCACACTGATTCTTACCAACTGTAGGATGCCCCCTCTAGACTGCGACCTCCTACCACAGTTTGGACTTCTAGCTCTTGCAACCAATGCCCCCGCAACCGGCTCAATGGAAGTCTCATTGTCCTTCTTTCAAAGTTGATAATTCACAAGAGCCGCGGTGACCTCACTATACGAAAGAGATGCCTTCCCATTAATAAGAGTGAGGACGAAGGTCTCATATTCCTCATCGGGCAAGGAACTCAATAACAACAATGCCTTGTCCTCGTCTTTAACCATAACATCTACATTCGCCAAATCTGCAAGTAGCTTCGTGTAGTGGTTCATGTGATCACTAATGGATGTCCCCTTCTTCAATTGGAAGCGATAAAGCCTCCTCTTCAAATGCAAACGATTTTTGACGCTCTGTAGTGGTTCATGTGATCACTAATGGATGTCCCCTTCTTCAATTGGAAGCGATAAAGCCTCCTCTTCAAATGCAAACGATTTTCAACGCTCTTCGTCAAATACTTGCCCTCTAGGACTTCCCAAATCTTCTTTGCCGAAGTCTCATTCATCACATCATATTTTAGATCTTGGGTAAGACAAGACCTAATCACACCACACGCAGTTCTATTCATTTTCTTCCAAACCTTCTCATCAATGTCGTCCGGTTTCCCGTCCAACTCCAACGTATCTTCCAAATTTTGCTCATTTAGCGCATCCAAGATTTCGCATCTCCAAAGTCCAAAATTATTTGTGCCATCGAACTTCTCCACATCTATCTTCATAGAATGGATATTCAAACTTTGAACGGTCTTCAAACTAGAAGAACCCTCCCCACTTTTATCTTTCTCGACCATATATCTCAAAGCACCCAATAACAATTGCGGAACAAACAAGGAATAGATCCAAAATTGACCAGAGATAGAATTTTTACCACAAAGATTCCACCTTTATCACCAACTGAAGCTCTAGATGAACTTCCCAACTGATCTACACTTCCAAAAAAGCCCAATCGTTGCCCGGAGCTCTGATACCACTTGTTGGGGAGAATCCCCTATGCCGAGATCCAACCAAATAGCCGAGAGAGATGAACAAACACACCAAACAATAGTACAAACACAATAACACCAGTTTTAACGTGGTTCGGCGAGATGCCTACGTCCACGGGGCAAGGATGGTGGGAGTTTTCACTATTAGAAACTAAGAGGAACAAACTAGGGTTACAAATCTCTCATAAACCCTCAACAAATTAACTCTCAATCTCTTCAATTGCTCCTAGAATAGAAGCCCAAAGAAAACCCCTTTCAACAGCTCAAATCTCCTGCTCTCAAACCCTAGAGACACCCTCTAGGTATTTATACCAATCCCAAATGAAAACGGGTCTGGAAAAATAACCAGACCCGAAACCGCACGCGACGGTCGGACCGTGGGGTCGGTCGCGATCCATCGCGGTCGACCGCCACGGTCGACCGCCCTTAATCCAGAAAGCCTCAAAGTCCAGAAACATCTACAGTCGACGTGGTGGTCGACCGCCACGAAAACAAGAAACTTATGCATCGACCGCCGCGATCGAACCGCCAACGGTCCAGACGCCAACAGTGAACCCTGTGCACGAACCACGGTCGACCGCCAACCTGTCAACTGCCTGTTCTGAGCCAACTGCCAATTCTATATATATATTATAATATATATAATATATATATTATATATATATATATATATATATATATATATATATATATATATATATATATGATATGAGGATATGGGTTATACTTGGGCCAATGATCCTTGGTAGTGATGTGGACACATCTTGTCCATACATCACACCTTGAAGTTGGTGAGGCCTCCATCTTCAAGGTGTGATGTATGGACAAGATGTGTCCACATCACTACCAAGCGATCCTTGGTACCAAGTATACTCATTTTTCTCTATATATATATATATATATATTATATATATTATATATATATATATATACTTATTACTAATAAACATCACCTCAACAAAACATACCCTAGTACTGTACTCCTTTAGTGAAGTCCGTGCCCACTAGGCGCCAAATAGATGGGAATTTAGTGTCCTTGCGTGTTAGGTGTCCACCAAGTACGCAGAGCACTTGTTTTCCCTAACTTCCATTTCCATCGCATCGCTAACCACGGACTACCATCCGCTACTTATTTGCATACTATACACGCGGACAATGCACATTTTATCAATCAATATAACTTAATAATATTCCTTCACAGACACATTCAAATGAAACAATTATTCTATTATGTCAAGACCATTCTTAATTGGGCAAATTACGTTAAAACCAAAGTAAGATTCAGTATTTTTCAGTAATTTCCCACTGATTTTAAAACACTTGCTAAACTCCCAAGAAGTTTTTGCTAGAACGTCTCCAAAGTTAACACCATCAGTTTCATATCGTCAAATGACTAAATTACTGCAAAATATTTTGATAAAAAACACCAAATGAATTTAACGTTTCGAGATTTAACCCCAAAATTGAAAATTACAATTGTTTTGCCCTAAAAAAATCTAAAATTATGAAACGGCCCTGAATGTTATGAAAATTATAAATGCCCGCAAATATTTAGAAAATTTCAAACAACCCCCTAAAAGTTTAAGAATTGGAAGCAGTTTGATATAGGCTATAGGTTGTTTATAATTTTTAGATATTTTAGCAGTTTATTTGTAATTTTTAAATTTCTCATGGGGTTGTTATTTTTCAATTTTAAAGGGAGTTATCTATAGTTTGTGATTTTTTAGGCAGTTGTTTGTAAGTTATATATTTTTTGGTGGGTTCTTTATAATTTTTGAATGTTAAAAAGTTGTTTTCAATTTTCAAATTTTGTAGATGGATGTTTCCAATTTCATATTTTGAGGAGTTTTATTGTAATTTCCTTACTTTCAAGTGTTTGTTTGAAGTTTTTTAATCTTAAGGGTTGTTTTCAATTTTCAAAATTTGATTGTGACTTATTTGTAATTTCTGCTTTCTTTGGAGGGCTTTTTATTTTTTGCGCTTATCAAAGGATATTTTTGTTACTTTTCATGTTTTTAAATAGTCTATTCGGAAATTTTTGATTCTTCAGGCATTACTTGTAATTTTTAGATTATAAACGTGACTATTTTGTAATAATCATATTTTTCATAGGAATGTTTTTCAAATTTTAGGTATTTCTTAGTATTTTTTTTAGAATTTTTTAATTTTATTTCGTTATTTGCAAATTTTTTCGTTAAATTCTTTTGGGGATCTTTGCTGTTTCATATTACTAGGGGATTGTTTGCAATTGTTGGATATTTTAGGGGGTTGTTTGTATATTTTTTGTTTTTTTAGGGAAATGCTTGAAATTTTTAGATTTTAACAGGTTATTTGATATTTTTGATTTTTAGGTGGTCATTTGTAATTTGCAGATTGTCACGGGGCTCTTTGTAGTTTTTGATTTTTTTTAAGGCTATTATGTAATTGTTAGAATTTTTAAGGCAAACATTTGTTTTCAAATTTAGGGATTTAATGTGTAAATTGGGATGATATGAGGGGCATATGTGCAAATAATCTTTTTTTTCTGCTATTGGCCGTGAGAGTATTCTCGTCCTTGCAAAGTTATGGAGGTACTGCCGCTTTTATGCGAGTTAACTATAAAAAATCAAAATATTTGGGGGTTTTATAAAATACCCAGTTTACTGGGGTTCAATTGAGCCTTTAAAACTTCATGGGAATTTACTGCGTATGAGTGGTTAATAGAAATTATTAATTACGTCTTTAAACATGACAACTAACCGAAGCTAAGTCTAATTTTGTTGAGGTCACTTTCATCTAATAAAAGTATGGATTATTTGCATATATACCCCTTAAATCATGAGAATTAGTGAAAGTACTCCTCAAATTTTAGTATTAACAAAATCCCTCAAATTAAATGATCAACTTTGAAAAAAAAATATCTAGAAAATTAATAAATCGTGAACTTGGTTAGTAAAAAGATAACCATTTTGTTGATAACTATTATGTTGCAGTTGCAAATTAGCCTACTGAAGTTGATAACTTATTGATTAGGTTTTTTATTTTTTATTTTTGATGATTTGAGGGGTAGTTTTGCGATTTCTTAACTCGATGGGTAGCTTTCCAAATACCCATGACGTAAGGGGTATATCTGAAAATAACACTAAAATTATCCTGTTCCCAGCTAAGACAACTCCGCGACCAACTGAATTTTCAACTGCTATACTTAATTATGCTGAAAACGATCCCCATCTGAACTTAAAAAAAAAAAAACATGTTAAAAAGGAGAGAACATTCTGAAGACCACTTCAAACAGTACGTGTAGATTTGAATATTCAAAGACTTAACTTAACTTAATAGGCCTCCACTAAAGTTTTCAACCCCGCTTAAACACCGTGTTAATCAAAAGTCAAAACCCCCCCCCTACCACCGATCTGCGCTCTCTGCGGCATCTCAGGCTGCCTCGGCTGCGAATTCTTCGCTTCGGGTGAACTAATTAGAGAGGTGAAAAGTTCTAGCAGCTCCTTGATTGAACCGAAGATAAAGAAGAGGAGGAAAAAGCCCAAGACGAGTGAGTACAGGGGAGTGAGGCGGCGGCCGTGGGGGAAATGGGCGGCGGAGATAAGGGACCCGTTGAAGGCGGTGAGGAAGTGGCTGGGGACGTTCGACACGGCGGAGGAGGCTGCGAGGGCGTACGATAAGGCAGCGATCGAGTTTAGGGGAGCTCGGGCGAAGCTTAACTTTCCGTTCCCGGAACAAGAACAGCATCAAGAGAAGGAGAATGAGAATGAACCTAGTGATGAGCTTAAATTTCCGACGTTGAGTGAAGGCTCATCGGTGGAGAAGGAGACAGGGGAGGAGCGTACTACAGTGGGGTTGTGGGATGGGCTTCCTGACCTTTTCGAGATTGATTTCTAAAGCACATGCAGATTGTTTTTTGTGAGCAATGTGTTCCTTTTTTTTTTTTGGATAGTCTCCAGGAGAAGTTTTTGGTAGAAAGCTTTCTTTTATGTAAATTTAGTGATTCCTTTTTACGGGACATATCTGGATTTTTTTTGGGGAAGCTTTTCTATGTCTATTTTCCATGTAGAGTTTGGTAAGATTTACAAGGTATTTATGTTAGGGATATTATGGAGATTAATCTGCGAAATTAAACACTAAACGAATAACGACAACAATGAAAATATCACAAGCAAGCAAACACCAAGATTTAAAGTTGTTCAGCAAATCGTGCCTACGTCCACGGGGCAATCCAAAGAGAAATATTTCGCTATGAATCAACAGGACAATCCCTCCAAGTTACACCTGAACTTGAGGTTTAAATCACAAGAGAAAGATACAGTGTTACCTCTAGGGCACCAAAACCCTAAAACATGTTTCACAAAAAATCTTCAATACCCACAGAGAAATCAACACCATACCGTCGACAACTTCGTCGTTCTAAAGACAATGGTTTTTGAATCACTACAATCGGACAACCGAGCTATCCGGAATCTGAACTTTTCTGTCTCTCCCCTCTTTTCTTCTCTCGCGTTACTATTCACGGTTTACTATAGCACCAAAAAATTACAGGTTTCTCATGAATTGAATTCCTTTATAAAGGAATTTTATTTTCAGGTCCTTCAAACCTATCCCTATTACAACTAGATCCTCCAAATCCTCTTTTAAATAAAATTTTAATTCATGTGGGCCTTATCTTGGGATGAACCCACAACAATCTCCCCCTCCAGCCGAACAAGAGGGTATGCCAATCTATAACTCCTCAACGGGAATTCATGTCGGCCAATCACCGCACAACTTAGTCTTCTCTCTGGAAACGATCTTCGTTAAAAAAATCTGCTGAATTTTTATCTGTGTGAATCTTCTGTAGCTTTAACTCCTCTTTCTCAATGGCTTCTCTAAGCCAATGATATCTCATATCAATGTATTTCATCCTGGAGTGGAATGTAGAATTCTTGCTCAAATCAAGAGCACTTTGACAATCAATGAAGATTTAATAATTAACCTGCTGCAAGCATAACTCCTGCAGAAATCTTCTCAACTAAATCGTCTCCTTATCAGTTTCTGCAGCTGCAATATATTCCGTCTCTGTTGTAGATAAAATAACACACTTCAGCAACCTGGACTGTCAAGATACTGCTCCCCATGCAAAAGTGAACAACCAACCTTAGGTAAACTTCCTGTGATCGAAATCACTTGCCATATTTGCATCTGCAAAACCATATAATACTACATTCGAACCTCCAAAACTCAAACACAATCTGGAACTGCTTTGCAAATATTTTAAGATCTACCTTACACATTCCCAATGAACGTTTTCTGAATTAGAAACAAACCTGCTCACAACACCAACTGCATGAGTTATATCTGATCGAGTATAAACTATAGCATACATCAAACTCCCTACAGCAGAAGAATAAGGAATATTCTTCATATTACTCTTTTCCTCATCTATAGTCGGGTAAAACTTTATGCTAAACTTCAAATGACCTGCAAGAAGAGTAGTAACTGACTTGGCATCTTTTATGTTGAATCTATGAAGTTGCAGTTCAACATATTTCTCCTGTGATAACCACAACTTCATGGATTTCCTATCACGAGCAATATCCATACAAAGAATCCGCTATGCTGAGCCCAAATCCTTCATGTCAAAAGATTTAAATAACTCCTTCTTCGGTCCACCAATTATCTAACTATTCTGACCAATAATCAACATATCGTCCACATAAAACAAAAGGATAATCAAGCTAGAGTCTGAAATTCTCCTGAAATATACACACGAATCTACAACAACCCTCTGGTAGCCACGACTCAACATAAAAGAATCAAATTTCTTGTACCACTACATGGGTACTTGATCTCACGCGACCACCGATCTGCGCTCTCTGCGGCATCTCAGGCTGCCTCGGCTGCGAATTCTTCGCTTCGGGTGAACTAATTAGAGAGGTGAAAAGTTCTAGCAGCTCCTTGATTGAACCGAAGATAAAGAAGAGGAGGAAAAAGCCCAAGACGAGTGAGTACAGGGGAGTGAGGCGGCGGCCGTGGGGGAAATGGGCGGCGGAGATAAGGGACCCGTTGAAGGCGGTGAGGAAGTGGCTGGGGACGTTCGACACGGCGGAGGAGGCTGCGAGGGCGTACGATAAGGCAGCGATCGAGTTTAGGGGAGCTCGGGCGAAGCTTAACTTTCCGTTCCCGGAACAAGAACAGCATCAAGAGAAGGAGAATGAGAATGAACCTAGTGATGAGCTTAAATTTCCGACGTTGAGTGAAGGCTCATCGGTGGAGAAGGAGACAGGGGAGGAGCGTACTACAGTGGGGTTGTGGGATGGGCTTCCTGACCTTTTCACTTTCCGTTCCCGGAACAAGAACAGCATCAAGAGAAGGAGAATGAGAATGAACCTAGTGATGAGCTTAAATTTCCGACGTTGAGTGAAGGCTCATCGGTGGAGAAGGAGACAGGGGAGGAGCGTACTACAGTGGGGTTGTGGGATGGGCTTCCTGACCTTTTCAAGATTGATTTCTAAAGCATGTAGAGTTTGGTAAGATTTACAAGGTATTTATGTTAGGGATATTATGGAGATTAATCTGCGAAATTAAACACTAAACGAATAACGACAACAATGAAAATATCACAAGCAAGCAAACACCAAGATTTAAAGTTGTTCAGCAAATCGTGCCTACGTCCACGGGGCAATCCAAAGAGAAATATTTCGCTATGAATCAACAGGACAATCCCTCCAAGTTACACCTGAACTTGATATGTGCATGGGGTAATCCAGAGAGAAATATTTCACTATAAATCAACAATACAATCCCTCCAAGTTACACCTGAACTTGAGGCTTAAATCACAAGAAAAATATACAGTGTTACCTCTAGGGCACCAAAACCCTAAATCATGTTTCACAAAAAATCTCTAATACCCACGGAGAAACCAACACCATACCCTCGATAGCGTCGTCGTTCTGAAGTCAATGGTTTTTGAATCACTGCAATCGGACAACCGAGCTATCTGGACTCTGAACTTTTCTCTCTCTCACCTCGTTTCTTCTCTTGGGTTACTATTCATGGTTTAATGTAGCGCCAAAAAACTACAGGTTTCTCATGAATTGAATTCCTTTATAAAGGAATTTTATTTTTCAGGTCCTCCAAACCTATCCCTATTACAACTAGATCCTCCAAATCCTCTTCTAAATAGAATTTTAATTCATGTGGGCCTTATCTTGGGCTGGACCCACAACAATCTTCCCCTCCAGCCTAACAAAGGGGGTATGCCAATTTGTAACTCCTTAACGGGAGTTCTTGCCGGCCAATCACCGACACAATTCGGTCTTCTCTCTGGAAACTGTCTTTGTTAAAAAATCTGCTGGATTTTCATCTGTGTGAATCTTTTGTAGCTTCAGCTCATCTTTCTCAACAGCTTCTCTAAGCCAATGATATCTCACATCAATGTGTTTCGTCCTAGAGTGGAATGTAGAATTTTTACTATGAATCTTCTGTAGCTTTAGCTGCTCTTTCTCAATGTCTTCTCTAAGCCAATGATATCTCATATCAATGTATTCCATCCTGGAGTTGAATGTAGAATTCTTGCTCAAATCAAGAGCACTTTGACAATCAATGAAGATTTAATAATTGTCCTGCTGCAAGCCTAACTCCTACAGGAATCTTCTCAACCAAATCATCTCCTTATCGGCTTCTGCAGCTGCAATATATTTCGTATATGTTGTAGATAAAACAACACACTTTTGTAACCTGGGCTGTCAAGATACTGCTCCCCCTACAAAAGTGAACAACCAACCTGAGGTAAACTTCCTGTAATTGAGATCACATGCTATATCCGCATCTACAAAACCATATAATACTGCATTCAAACCTCCAAAACTCAAACACAATCTAGAACTGCCTTTCAAATATTTTAAGATCCACTTTACACATTCCTAATGAACTTTTCTTGAATTAGAAACAAACCTGCTCACAACGCCAACTGCATAAGTTATATCTGACCGAGTACAAACTATAGCATACATCAAACTCCCTACAGCTGAAGAGTAAGGAATATTCTTCATCTATAGTCGGGCAAAACTTTTTGCTAAACTTCAAATGACACGCAAGAGGAGTACTGACTGACTTGGCATCTTTTATGTTGAATCTATCAAGTTGCAGTTTAACATATTTTTCCTGTCATAACCACAACTTCCTGGATTTCCTGTCACGAGCAATATCCATACCAAGAATCTGCTGTGCTGAGCTCAAATCCTTCATGTCAAAAGATGTAAATAACTCATTCTTCAGCCTACCGATTGTCTTACTATTCTGACCAATAATCAATATATCATCCACATAAAGCAAAAGGATAATAAAGGTAGAATCTAAAATTCTCTTGAAATATACACACAAATCTGCAATAGTCCTCTGGTAGCCACGACTCAACATAAAAGAATCAAATTTCTTGTACCACTGCCTGGACACTTGCTTCAAACCATAGAGGCTCTTCTTCAACCTGCAAATCATGTGTTTTTTCCCTTTACTTCAAAACCCTTCGGCTACTCCATGTAGATCTCCTCCTCCAAATCACCATGAAGGAATGTAGTCTTCACATCAAGCTGCTTAATCTCAAGGTCTAAACTAGCTGCTAACCCTAAGATAACTCTAATGGACGTCATCTTCACAACCGGAGAAAAAATCTCATCAAAATCAATGCCTTTTTTTTCTGACCAAAGCCTTTCACCACTAATCTGGCTTTGTATTTTGAATCTCTAGCCATCCTTCTTTAACTTAAACACCCACTTGTTTTTCAAACCTTTTCTATCCTTCGGCAATCTACCAACTCATAAGTATCGTTCTTCTCAAGAGATTTCATCTCTTCCTTCATAGCCTGGAACAATCTGTCCTTTTCTTTATGAGTATGTGCCTCCTAAAATCTTTCTGGCTCCCCCTCTTATTGTTGGACACTAGGGGGGTGATTACGGTCTTAAGGCTATAATAGTGTAATGAAAATTGAGACAAGCAACAAACCACAAAATGAATAACTATAGCAAATGAGATAGCGTTAGAAATCGTTATCCAAATGACACGCGATGTGTTAACGAGGTTTGGCCCGCTGACCTACGTCCCCGCTCCCCACTCTCAAGGAGAATCCACTGCGCAACCCGATTTGAAAGCCGAAACTTTTTCTACACAACGATCTTCACAAGATCTCACAACTACACAGTTGATTAGCACAAGATCTCACTCCCACACAGTTGATCTCCACAAGATAAAGCTCTCAACAGTAGTAATGGTATAAAAACTCTCTCTTTACAATGTCCATATGGCAAGGAGAAAGATTAGACTGAAGCTGGAAAGTGAAACTAAAAACAGAAAAAATCTGGTTTTGAATGTTTGCTCTCAGGAAAATAGATCTCTGATATTTTCAAAATGTTTGGAACACTTGAAGAAGAAGGGGTATAGGAGGTTTAAATAGGAGAAAACACTGCAGCCAGAACACATACCCATATCCCCTAAATCCCGTAAAAAATCATCATCTGAAACTATACTTAAAAAGACGTTGGAGTAAACGGTGGTCGACCGTGATAATCTCGCGGTCGACCGCAAGCCACTTTCGCAGCTGAGAATTTTCCAGAGACTTTGGCGGTTGACCGTGGGAAAATTCAAGCTGACGGTCGACCGTGGAGGTCGACCGCGAAAGTTTCTGTTTGACTTCGCAGGTAAAAACTCAGGTACGGTCGACCGTGGCGGTCGACCGCAAACTGATATGGTTGATACTGTTTATTGAAAGCAGTTTTTGACTCTTTAAAAATTTATAAAAATATTTAAATGACTTTCAAAAATTTTGTAACTTTGTAAATTGTTTTTGACATTAAAAACAAACTGTTTGGAAAAGAAATTTTATGAAAAAGTCCTCATACTTGTGAAAAATGATATTTTGTTAAAACGCTCAAAAATATGAGTATGAAAACGTGTGTGTGATATCCCAATAGCTTCAAATAAAATCTAAGCTACTTGCCTACATTCTAGCACTAGAGAAAAAAGAAAAACTAGCTAATATCCTCACATAGAATTATAATTCTTTGAGTCATGATATAGCTTGAGTTGATGAAGCTTCTCATTGTATTTATTGTTCTTGAATAAACAATGCTTCATCACTATGCCTCCTCCTCCTTTGGATATCATCGTTGTAGCTCATATTCCATCCAATCCTCCATGTATGGTACTAACAAGCTTGATGTATATATTAACTACAATATCACTCAATAAGTGATTAGTACCGATAATGGTGGTTGTAAAACATCATCAAAACATAAGGGCAAACACTTATGTCAGCAAAAAATGCTTCGAAAGAGGATATCTTGTGGATGGTCGATGCTCTCTAGCTGATCTCCTAAGTTATGGCTCTGTAAACTCCTGTTGCTGGTGATGCTCCTACTGCTGAAGAGCCTCCTGCTCGTGATCTTGATCACTGTCTCCCTGCTCTAGTATCTGACAGTCATCATCAACATCATCATCATGCACCTGCACTATATCTGTAGGATGCAACTGCACTGGAGATGAAACGAGTGTCATATCTGGAATCTCACTAGCAACACCCTCTGACTGCTCTGTTCTCCCGAGATCTGCAATAGTCTGATCCTCCTGAAAAATCACATCTGCTTGTCTGATAATTTGTTTCTTTTCTAGATCCCATAGTTTGTAACCAAACTCATCTTCTCCATAACCAAGGAAAATGCAAGGAACTGCTCTATCATCAAGCTTATGTTTCTTCTCATTCAGAATGTGTGCAAACGCCTTGCAACCAACCACCTCTAGATGAGAATTGGAAATATCTCTTCCGGGCCAAACTCTCTCTGGAATATCAAAATCCAAAGAAACTAAATGAGACCTATTGATTATGTAGCATGCAGTGTGAACAGCTTCAACCCAGAAGCTCTTAGGTAACTTCGTCATCTTCAACATGCATCTGACTTTCTCCATAATGATCCTGTTATACCTCTCTGCAACTCCATTATGCTGCGGTGTGTTAGGCTCTATCCTTTGATGTTGAATACCATGCTTGGAGCAATAATCTCTAAACTCAATGGAAGTGTACTCTCCTCTATTATCGGTGCGCAAATACTTCAACTTCTTTCCTGTCTGCTTCTCCACCATGGCATAAAACTACTGGAAGACTAAAAACACCTAGTTCTTTACCTCAATAAGAAAACCCACATCCTCCATGATGCATCATCAATAAATATGAAAAAATACTTATTGCTACACAAGGACTCTACCTTAATAGGACCACAAACATCAGAATAAATCAAATCTTGGATATTGTCTTTTCTTTTAGAAGGCATACTAAAAGAAACTCTATGTTGTTTTCCAAACAAACAATAATCACAAGGGTGAGTGATGAACATTTGACAAAGGAAATTAGAGACTTCTTTGCCAATAT